GGATACTGTTATAAAAGCATTTAGAAAGTCTTAGTTTTGCTGATCTTTTCCTAATCTCTTGGGGTAGATGCCTATTCATTAAACTGTAGCCTTTTTAAAATTTTGTAATACAGTCATCTCTTGGTACTTGCGGGAAGATTGGTTCCAGGAAACCACCCCTCCCAACAGAAAACAAAATCTGTGATGGTCACGTCCCTTATATAAAATGGTATAGTATTTGCATATAACCTACGTACATCCTTCCATATACAGTTGACCCTTGAATAACATGGGTTTGAACTACACTGGTCCATTATAGGCAGATTTTCTTCTTTCTCTGCAACCCCTGTAATAGCAAGACCAACCCCTCCTTTTCCTCATCTTCCTCAGCCTACTCAGCATGAAGACAACAAGGCTGAAGACCTTTATGATGATCCACTTGCACTTAATAAATAGTAAATATATTTTCTCTTCCTTATGATTTTCTTAGTAACATTTTCTATTCTCTAGCTTACTTTATTGCAAGAATGTAGTATGTAATACTTCTAACATACAAAATGTGTGTTAATCGACTATTATTGGTACGGCTTTTGTTCAACAGTAGGCTGTTAAGTTTTGGGGGAGTCAAAATTTTATGTGAATTTTCAACTACATGGTGTTGGCAGTCCTAACTCCCATGTTGTCCGAGGGTCAACTGTACTTTAAATCATCTCTAGATTGTTTATAATACCTAATACAATGTAAGTGCTATGTAAATAGTTGTTATACTGTATTGCCTAGGGAATAATGACAAGAAAAATGAGTCTGTACATGTTTAGTACAGACTCAACCATCATAGTCTTAACTACATTTTCCATGTGCAGTTGGTTGAATCCATGGATGCAGAACCCACAGATATGGAGGGCTGACTGTATACACATTTAAAGCTCCTAGAAGTTCTCCCTAAGTACTATTTCAGCTTTCACAAGTTTTGATGTGAGCAATTGTGTTATAACTTAATTCAACATATCAACTAATTTTCATTAGTTCAACACATTGACTAATTTTCATTAGGATTTCATCTTTTCCTTTAGGTGATTTGGAAGTATAATTCTTAATTTTCAAACAGTAGGTATCTTCTAGTTATCATTTTTGTTGTTTTGTAGCATCATAGTCTGGAAGATATTTTGAATTTGAATAGTTTTAAGTGTTAGACCATATATATAATTTAAGGATATGCATGTATGTGTGTATATATATATATTCCCTTTGATTAGGATACAAATTGTCTAAAATGAGTGGTTTGAAAGAATTAACATCACTGCATTGTTTTAAAAGTAAAAGATTCTATCAACTTCAGTCATTTTAAGGATGAGCAGTATTTCCATTTTCATAGATAAGAATTCTTTGCTACAAAGGAGACAGTTAAAATATCTAGATTTATCTTAACTTAAAATGAGATTATTATTTTCACCAAAATCTTTTCATAGAATCTGTCATTATTTTTTAAACTATGCCTTAATTTACTATTCTTTTTTGTTTTTTAAATTAAATGTTACAGGATATGGAGCCTAGTAGATCATGCATTAATAGCAAGGTGTAATATGGAAGAACCAATTCGTTGTGCAGCTGTAAATGCAGATGGAGTCCATCTTGCCCTTGGAATGAAGGATGGCTCATTCACCGTACTTCGAGTAAGGTATGGTATTAGGGTAGAAATTAGAAACAGACAGTAATTTTCTATTCAATGAGATAGAATATGTAGTACTCATTGTTTTTACCCACATAGCCTTTTTTCTTCCTCTTATTAATACAGATAGATTTCAGATATTAGTTTTATTAAATATAAAATATATTTATAAGAATAGCTTTGTTAGAAAATTAAACTCAAAAACATTGTTTTGGGGGGTTAAGAATGCTTAAGAGACTAATGCCTAAAATTTTGAGCTATAAATTTGGGTCTCAACTTCCTTTTCTTGGTAGGATGGATTTTCAGTAATGATCCCTTGCCATTGAACAACCATGAGGCTGTTAAAACTGGGTGAAATGTTTTTTGTTGTTATTTACAGCTTTATGCTTTGAAAAAAATACCTGTCTCTCTTCCGTTGTTTGGATAATTAGAAAAGTTTAAAGAATTTGTTAAAGCAATTATAGGTAGGTGCATTCAGTTGAATTCTATGCAACCATTAAAAACTTTGCTGTAGATCCACTGAATGTTTACAAGGATAAATACTTATAAAGTCTTTCTTCTCTAGCTCAGTTAATGGTAGGATCTTCCACTCAATTGCCCAGCCCAGAAGCTGTTAATTCATTTTTCTCTTTTGGCTCTGTCTACTTAATCACAGACTTCTGGAAAGTCTACTTCCTAAATAGCTCTCAAATTAATCTCCTTCCTTCCATTCTCACCATTGTACTCTTGCATAGCCTTATGTCATCTCCTGACTGTATTGGTGGTCTCCATATCTCCTGTTTTGCTTCATTCAAGACCTTTTTTCACTCTATATTGATAAGTGATTCCTTTAAAAACACATTTGTTTATATTCTTCCTCTTTCTAAAGTATGATGCTATCTAAAGTATGCACTGTCCTTAGAATGAAGTTCATGATCCTTAACATGGCACATCTCTCCTGCCTGTTTCTCTGTACCTCAGTGTCTTTCTTTCATCTATACAAAACTGCTTTCATTTCTTCAGATACATCATTTTCCCTTGTACTTCTGAGTTTCTATATTTGCATACTTCTCTTTCTGAGACAGATTTTTATAATGGGATATGCCAAGATTTTTCTCTTAAACTAACTTTTTTTTTTTTTTTTAGAGACAGGGTCTCGCTTTGTTGCCCAGGCTGTAGCACAGTGGCATGATCACAGCTCAGTATAACCTCGAACTCCTGGGCTCAAGCAATCTTCCTGCCTCTTAGCCTCCTGAGTAGCTGGGACTACAGGTGCACACCATGACGCCCAGCTAATTTTTGTATTTTTAGTAGAGATGGGGTCTCGCTCTTGCTCAGGCTGGTCTCAAATTCATGAGCTCAAGCTATCCTACTGCCGCGGCCTCCTAGAGTGCTAGGATTACATGCGCGAGCCACCACGCTTGGCCTTAGTAAGAGGACTTTGCAAGTTGCAGGGTCTAAGGCAAAAGCAATGTCAACTAGGAAAGCTTTAAAAAAAAAAAGTACAGAAGTTTTAAATATTATAATCTTGGATCTATCTTGGAGCTCCTTTTCTATTTCTATTTCTATTTCTAACACTACATTGGTTAGAATAATCACTAACTACTAACTACTGTGATTAATTGGCCTTTAGCTGTGTAGTGGCTCATTTAAAATTGAAGATTAATTCTTGCACGTGTAACAGTCAAAAGTCAATGAGTGGTTTTCCTTCCCCAGGTAACTCTAAGACCCAGGTCCCTTTCAGTTTGTTGTAGTTTCATCACTCCCTAGGGCCCATCATCATAGCTATCTCCATCCAGCCAGTAGAAGGGGCAAGAGTGTTCGAAGGGGGTATACCAGCTTCCTAAAAACGCATGGCTAGAAAATGGCTCACATCATTTCCACTCACTTGTCTTTGGCTAAACTAACTGCAAAGAATCCTGGGAAATTCGATCTGGGAAGAAAGGAAAATGAAAACATATTCTGTTTTCTTCATTTGTTTTGGTCCCCTTTTTCAGTTAAGGGGCTGGATTTTTATCTTTCTCTGTATGATTAACACCATGGTAAAGCCCAAACTCCTTGGCAACATACCAGATTAATCACAGATTGTCCTCAATCTATCTCTTTAACCCCATCAATCACTAACTACTTTATCCACTTATTCTTGTATCCACATTGCATTATTGCTATTCCTCAAAGGTGCCACATACTTGCATATTGCTGTGCCTTGGCTCATGCTGTATCTTCTTCCTGGAAAACCCCTTCTCTTCTTTTATACTTAGCCAGCTTCTCAGGTTTTATGCTCAAAAGAGATATCACCCTTCCTTGGCCCCTTCCTGCCTTTAGTCTAGTCTTAATCCTTCTTTCAGTATTTCTGTAGAACTTCACACTTTTTTTTGAGTAATCACCACATTTTATCATAATTACTTTATATCCATCTGTCATAGAAGGTGAGTTCAAGTTTGTATCCCTAGTGCCTAAAACAAAGTTAAGTACTCAGTGTTACTGGAAGAAGTTTAACTTTGAGTGCTCTAAATTGTACATTTAGAAACTTTAAATATTGGTACACATCCATTTAAACTTCTGTTTTGGAAATTATTTACTTGGAGCATTTCAGATGAGTGAGGCAAAATTATATAGAGAAGAGTCCCTGACACTAATTGGAAATAGGAACTCTCTCCTCCTCCTACCCCTGCTCTCTCCCTGGATCCTTCTCCTCAACTCTTCCTCCTCCTCCCCACCAACTACACAACTTTGGAAAATCAGTGGTGTTAAACTAAGTGTTTATCTATTTTTATGGTTGTCACAAGTATCTGTATTATTTTGGAAGCTCAACTGTAAGCTCAACTGGAAAAAATGTTCAACTTCACTGGTTGACATGGTCCCTGAGGGATGAATTTATGTTTTATTAACAAAGGTTGAAGAGGCTGAAATAAAAATAACTAGTGATAGCTATATA